CATCCTACTTTGGTGAGTGGCGTCTGGGGTCTTAAAAGCTTGCAAGCAGCCATCTAAGATGCATCAATTGGTGCCAACCACCTGGAGTAAAGGAGAATGAAGAACACCAAATACCCAAGGAAAGTAATAGCCCAAGAGACATAAAGGGTCACATAAACCAGAGACTTCATCAGCCTGAGACCAGAAGAACTAGATGTTGCCCAGCTACCACCACTGACCGCCCTGACAGGGAACACAACAGAGAGTCCTGGATGGAGCAGGAGAAAAGTGGGGTGTAGAACTCAAATTCTAGTAAGAAGACCAGACTTAACGGTCTGACTGAGACTGGAGGAACCCCGCAAAGCATGGCCCCTGGATTCTCTATCAGTCCAGAACTAAAACAATTTCCAAGGCCAACTCTTCAGACAGGGATTGGACTGGACTGTGGACATAAAGTGATACTCATGAGGAGTGTGCCTCTTAGCTCAAGTAGCTACAAGAGACTAAACGGGCAGCTTCTGTCCGGAGGTGAGATGGGAAGGCAGAGAGGGTTAGGAGCTGGTTGACATGGGGAATCGGGTGGAAAGGAGGAGTGTGCTGTCACAGTATGGGGAGAGCAGTTAGAGTCACATAACAATGTATGTATAAATTTTTGTATGGGGGGAAAAAAAAGAAATGCCTAGGGCTAACGACAAGGAGGACCCCTCCCCAGAGCAGAGAGTCATTTCCTTTGTCATTTTGCTGTCTGTAGGTGTGTCAGATGGCCAGAGCCCCCTGCACTGACCTTGACACTCTTAGCCACAGTCTGTGAAGGAAGGAACCAGTGAGTGCAAGGAATGTCATGATCTCGTGCAGGGTAGTGAAAGAGGTTGGTCCAGAAAAGGGTCAACTATGCACACGGTCACAAATACCGGGACTCCTTCCTTTCATAGGAGACCCTGGGTGGTGCAAACAGTTGATGCTCGGCTGCTAACCAAAAAAATGGAGGTTCGGGTTCACCCAGAAGTGCCTAGGAAGAAAGGACTGGAAATCTACTTCTGAAAAATCAGCTTATGGAGCACAGTACTATTCTGACATACATGGGGTCTCCATGAGTTGGAATTGACTCGATGGCAACTGGTTGGTTTTCCTTTCACAAAAAGCCTCTGCTCGAGCCATCTAAGATACTCCACTGGTCTCATCCCTTCGGGAGCAAGGGAGAATGAAGGGAACAGGATACTAGGAAAAGATTAGTCCAAAGGACTAACGGACCACAGCTACCAAGGCCTCCACCAGACTGAGTCCAGTACAGCTAGATGGTGCCTGGCTACCACCACTGACTGCTCTGACCAGGATCACAACAGATGGTTCTGGACAGACCTGGAGAAGGATGTAGAACAAAATTCTAACTCACACAAAAAAGACCAGATTTACTGGCCTAAAGGAGACTGGAGAAACCCCGAGAGTATGGCCCCCAGACACCCTTTTAGCTCAGCGGTGAAGTCATTTCCGAGGTTCACCGTTCAGCCGGGGAGTGGACAGCCCCATAAAACCAAATGGGACTAATGAGGCACAGCAGTCCAGGGACAAGGGCCAGAAGGCAGAAGGGGACAGGAAAGCTGGTGATAGGGAACCCAAGGTTGAGTAAGGATAGTGTTGATGTGTTGTGAGGTTGTTAACCATTGTCATAGGGCAACATGTGTACTGTTAAATGAGAAACTATTTTGTATGTAAGCCTTCATCTAAAATGAGAATAGCAGCACAATTGGAAAAGCATAGTCGATGTCACTGAACTGTGCATGTAGAAATTTTTGAAATGGTGTATCTTTGGCTATGTATATTTTCACCAAAAAAAAAAAAAAAAAAAGGTTGAGAAGGGAGAGGGTTGACATGTTGTGGGGTTGTTAACCAATGTCATAAAACAATATGTGTAGTACTGTTTCATGAGAAACTATTTGTTCTGTAAGCCTTCACCTGAAGTACAATTAAAAAAAAGAAAGCCCCTGCTCAGCTGGTTGCCTGTTTAAACAGGTGAAGTGGAGAGAGGCAGGGGAGTGGAGACACCTTTATTGGAACAATGCATCTCTAAGATTCTCTGAGAATATTTATTCTTCTTGCAACCAGGTACCAGGTGGAACGAGGAAGAACAATGCAAAGTCAGTTCCCATGCCCAGCCAAAAAGGGAGACCCATCTGCGTTGCGGGTCCCTCTCTTTGAAACCTCAGTGGAGAGTGGCTCTCACAGTTGAGTGTGCCTGAGTCACCTGTGGAGCGTGTTAAAATGCAGATCCCTAGCCCCCACCACCCGAGAGGCCGATCCAGTGGGCCTGGGGGGGGGTGGCCAAAGGACTTGTACTTTCACACGCATCCTAGGTGACCATGATGCTGGTGGCCTTTGGGTGACACTGTGCCGAGCTGTGCCAGGTGGGTTGGTGAGCTTTGCCGACACATCTGCCACGTCCTGGAGTCTCCCACTCTCGGCCAGTCGCTCGGGTGTGGTGAGTGTGGTGTGACGGTGGGTGAAGAGTTGGAGCAGAGCGGGTCAGTGCCCACTCTCCTATGGCATGATCACAGCTGTGGCATCACTAGGGGGCGGCAGGGGATGTGGACCACACCAGGTGACACTCTCAGAGGGGGTGACACCAAAATGACTGTCTATAAAAGTATCTCTGCAGTTAGCTATAACAACAAAACCATTTTTTCGTAAGCCCAGGTTACATGTGTCAATACACCATAAGGCTAAAACTCTATGCTTATTTACTTTTTGAACCTTCTAATGCGCTCTGGTGTAGTAGTGGTAAAGGGCTAGGCCACTGACCAACAGGTCGGCAGTCCTAACCTACCAGCTGCTCCTTGGAAACCATAGGGGGCAGTTCTGCTCTGTCCCATAGGGTCGCTATGAGTCAGAATCAACTTGACAGCAACGGGTTTGTTTTTTTGTTTTGTTTTGTTTTAATGCGCTCTGGTCAGAGGTGTCATTATTACCCGATTACAATAATGATCCTAATCACGTGGTCTCGTCTGTTGTTTTTGTTGCTGCTGGTGCTTTTATAGTCTGTGATTTTGTCAAATTTTCTGGTGTTTTAGCTACAATATTGTGAATTAGTATTTGTGAACCTGTATCAGAAACTTTTTGAAGAATGAAGTAGTAATTAAAGGAAAAGGAGTGATATATAGGAATAACAATTCACAAGTAACATTAGTACAAAAAAAATTACTAAGGGTTCTGTACGGTCTGGTACAGGAGGAGGTCCATGGGGGGATGACACCAACCCTCGTGACACACTGGACCAGAGGCTGGTGGGTAAAATTAGAGCCCACACACGCTGGGAACCTGGTTAGCTGCCTTCAGTCACGGGAGCCTGCTGAGCGTCTGCTCCTGTGATGGCTTTACTTCAGAGAAAGGCAATATAGCAGGACAAGCCCCGGCAATGGGAGACTGGTTCTGGTCTGAATGCAAGCACCGACTCACTGGGTGTCTTCGTGCTAGCTCTGTATGACGTTGGCAAATCACTTAACCTCTGCATTTGTTTTCTCATCTGAGAAATGGGGATAATAAATGGTGCCTACCTTAAAGGATGGTTGTGAGAATTAACTAATGCATGTAGAATGTTTAGCACAGTGCCTGGCTTATAGTAGATGTTCCAAAAAAACCAAACCAAACCCACTGCCATCGAGTCAGTTCCAACTCACAGCATCCCCATAGTTTCCAAGGCTGTAAATCTCTATAGAAGCAGACTGCCACATCTCAATGTTAAATTCCATTTCCTGTTTGTTGACTGGTAGTCAGGGGAAAATGCTTTATACCAGCCCTGATGAGAAGAAAGGAAAATTCAGTTCCGACCAATATTTCATCCACGTGAGGATCAGTTGCTACTGTCCCTCTTGTGCTCGGGCCAGGCTAGTAGCATTGCACCTGTGGGCACACACCCAAGAGGCTCCTAGAGAAGGACCTGGAGGCCTGGTGGGGTGCCATCATGGTGGGAGACTGGGAGGTGCTGCTTTTGGCTCTCAAAGCCCACATGAAGAGAGAAGGTTGATGTACGTTCCATCATAATCTGGAACAGTGTTACTGTGCCACATTGGATTTGTCTGTCTCTTTGCCAGGGCCGTGGGGATTGGCATCCTGACAGTGATCCTGGGAATCTTATTGCTCCTTGGCTGCTGGTATTGTAGAAGACGAAGCGGATACAGAATCTTGAAGGTGGGTATCATCCCCACTGCTAGGGTTCTCCTCCCTATGGATCAAGATTCCTCCAGATCCAGGAACCCCTTTCCACTTCTGAGAATTTCTGGGGACTAGTAGGTGGGTAGCATTAAAGAGCCCTGGTGGCACAATGGTTAAGCACTCGCCTGCTAACCAAAAGATCAGTAGTTCAAACCCACCAGCTGCTCCATGGGAGAAAGATGCGGCAATCTACTCCCAGAAAGATTACAGCCTTGGAAACCCTGTGGGGCAGTTCTACCCTGTCCTGTAGGGTCACTATGAGTCAGAATTGACTCGACAGCAACGGGTTTTTTGGGGGAGGAGCATTCTCTGATCCCCTCTAGCTCTGATTGTTGCTTCTAGCAGATACTTTCTCTACATGATGCTTCTTGCAACCCTTCCCTTGTCTCTGCCCAGGCAACCACCCCAGCCAGGAACTTGGCCTGTCTCTGATTCCACCCAGAGCAAACTTGCGTACCTGCTCTTGTGTGTAACTGAGCACTGATGGTTTGTGGTCACGGGGGAGGGTTTCATGGTCCCTTGCATGGCGAACCATAGCATCTGGGCACCCCAGGTCTTGTCAGTCCTTCTGGGGATTCTCACAAGTTCTGCTCCTCTGCTTAGTGGCCTGTTCCTCCCCCATTGCCCTGTCACTCCTTTCCTGTGGCAGATTGCCACAGATTGCGAATTCCAAGTTCTTCCAACTCTGCAATACTGAGCAACCCAGCAGACCCAAGCCACATCCACCCCTCAGCGCACAAAAGCCCACTTGGCTTTTAACAGGCTCCACCTTCCTCAGGCAGCCATCACGGCTTTCTAGTATTTTCTCAGCTTTATTCACATGAGCAGGGATTTACACAATGACACAGACCAGTCTTCTGGCAGCAGGATCTTCCAAGAATGGGGACCAGCACCTGAGCCTATCAACTATAAAAAGTAGGCAAGTTTTCAGCCACCTTGCTTTCAAACCCAGGTAGCACTTAAGCAGCCAAAGCGAGTGATGGAAAGAAAGAAGAGTTGCTATTTATTTCCTTCCTACCTTCCTCCCTCCCTCCCTTCCTTCTTTCCTTTCCTTCCTCTCTCTCTCTCTTTCTTGTTATTACAGACTAGAAAGCTTCTCAGGTCAATACATAATGGAAAAAAAAATCTTTACAAAAGACGTTGGAAAGTCCCACTCATCATCCAGCAAGCACTTCATTCCGCAGAAAAGGTTCTGTGAAGGAGGGGAGGGTTGGTGGCACATGTGGGGAGGGGTGAGAGCTTGGCAGTGTCAGGAGGAAAGGTGAGACACCTGGCTTCAGAGCCTTCCCCTCTTTGCCTGGAAGCCCCTTTCCCTATGCCCCTCTCGCCAACTCATAGCGACCCTACAGGGCAGAGCAGAACTACCATACGGTTTCCAAGGAGCAGCTGGTGGATTTGAACTCCTGGCCTTTTGTTTAGCAGCCAAGCTCTTAACCACTGCGCCACCAGGGCTCATGGTGCATTAAGTACTGCATTTAATTACACAGTCACTTCCCTACCTCTTCTGTCGTTCTACTTTCATTTCAAAGCAGAAGAACATAAATGACCATGAAATGCAAACCTCAGATTCCCTCATTAAGCTCTGAAATGATTTTCCTTTTCATCTCAGAGAGGCAGCAAGATTGGCTGGAGTTTAGATCTCCCCAGATCTCTCCCTTGTTAACAATTCTCCTTCATTCTGAAAAGCAACCTCTGAAGGGAAAGACTGCTTTTTCGCAGTGGCAGCAGCGGCAGCGTGTTCCTGAAGTGAGGCGTGGGCAGTGACTTGTGAGGGACTGGAAGATGGTTTTTCTATTTACCAGTTTTACTTCTTCACTTGGATGTTGAGGGCAGACGTACTTTGGATTCTTGAAGAACAATTTCCAGGCACCTGCTGACAGCTCAGTGGACACCCAGGTCTCAGGTCCTTGTGTTTCCAGGCCTGGTCAGGGGCCACCTGCCCTACAGTCACCTGGGGTTCTTGCTAAATGGTGACTCTGGCCTTTCAGAGTGGGACCCAGAAATCTGCATTTTAGTTTGTACACTGAAGTTATGCAAATACAGAGGGTGGTCTGTGGGCTGGGAGAGTGGCAAGTGAGATTTTTTTAAAAAAAGAAAAAAAAAAGCAATAATTGAGGTAAAAGGAGAGAGCACACTGACTACCTTGTTGTCGTTTGCTGCTCTAGAGTCGGCTCCGCTCATGGCGTCCTTACGTACAACAGAAGGAAACAATGGCCTGTCCTGCGCCATCTTCATGATCATTGGTGGTTTGAGCCCGCTGTTGGGCCCATTGTGTCAGTCCATCACACTGAGGGTTTCCCTCCTTTTTGCTGACCCTCCACTTTACCAAAGTTGATGACCTTACCTGAGATTTCGTGCTGGGAGGAGGAAAGGGAGCAGAAGCTCCCTGGATGTTGACGTCTAGAGTAGGGTCCCTGTGCATATACCTTTCCTTGGAGTACAGTCAACAGCCATAGAACTTCATACTAGCGTTTAGGAAAGCCACAGACTGTCTAGGTACCAGCCCAGACCCATCCAGATTCAGCCACTTGATGGTCCAGCTACTTCTCCTCTTTGGGAAACCTGCCTTGACTCCCTCCTTCCCCAACCTAGTAGAACCAAAAGGACAAAGTCTCCGTGTGAAGACAAGCCTGAAGGGCAGCCCACCACCCGGCCAGCTGCCCTCATCCAGCCCCTCTCTGCTGATACTGCAGAGAGCGTGCTCCTGATGCACAGGCCACTTTGGGCTCACAAATGCAGCTTGGCCTGCGTTTTTAGATAACTGAATTAGGCACCAACATTTAAAAGTTACATTTTACACAAAAACCTCAATTCCTAGTTTCTTTTTAAAAAAATCAGAAGAGCTGGCAAAAACTAGCAGCTCAGCAGCGGTGGTCCCTTTAGATGCGATACACGCTGTCCGTGGCTACGCTCTCCCCGCCCCCACACCCGGACCCATTCGTATTAACTGCCTGGTTGCTGTAAGTATCTGAGTCTGCACCCCAGTGGCACATCAAGGGCGGAAATAGGGTGGGTCACCCCAGGGGCAGGCATCGAGGGGGCGAATTGTCTGCAAAGCTGTGGTTCTCAAACTGATCCTAGACCAGCTGCATCAGCATCACCTGGAACCTGTTAAAAATGCGAATTCTTGGGCCTCACCCCAGGCCCACAGCATCGGAAACTGGGCATGGGCCTAGCAATCTGTCTTCACAAGCATTCGAGCTGATGCTGATGCTAAAGCTTGAGAACCACTGCTGCAGAGAGTGGGAGTCCCTGAGTGGCGCAAATGGTTAAGGGCTCAACTACTAGCTGTAAAGGTTGGTGGTCCAAACCCACCCAGAGGTGCTTTGGAAGACAGGCCTGGTAGCCTGTAATCAAGGGCAACTAAAGGCAACAATAGCTGTGAAGGATTAAAAACAGTAATGAAAGCAACTAAAAGTTATCCGTTATCACAAAGTGTCGGCAATTTTAAACAAACTCAGTGCTGAAATGCTCCACCTCGCCAGGGTTCCCTTTCCTGCTCTGGTAAGCCTCTGCCTTGTACAGACTGTCATTCTCTTCTAGGGATGAGTGTCACCACCCCTTAAACTAATGCAAGCACCAACCTGAGCTTTTACCCAGACCTGCCCTCAATAGCTTGGGGCACATAACTTAGCTTTAAAAACAAACCAATTCTGACTCATGGCTGCCTCATGTGTGCTAGAATAGAACTGTGTGTGCTCCATAGGGTTTTCAGTGGCTGATTTTTTGGAAGTAGATCATCAGGCCTTTCTTCTGAGGCACCTCTGAGTGGACTTAAACCTCCAACCTTTCAGTTAGCAGCCAAGCGCGTTCACTGTTTGCACCACCTGGGACTCATAAAGGTTCATTTTTCGATTCACTCTTTTTCTCTTTTCCCTTCAAAAATCTCTGTTGCCTAAGCAATGGGTACCAGGCACTGCACTAGGTGCTTTCCTTTAGTTAATTCCCACAACTCAGAGAGGCAGGTGGTATTAACCTCATATTAAACCAAAAAAAAAAAAAAAAAAACCCGTTGCCATCGAGTTGATTCCGACTCATAGTGACTCTATAGGACAGAGTAGAACTGCCCCATAGGGTTTCCAAGGAGCTACTGGTGGATTCAAACTACTGACCTTTTGGTTAGTAGCTGTAGCTCTTAACCACTGTACCACTAGGGCTCCTTCATATTACAGATGTGAAAACTGAAGCTCAGAGAGGTGAAGTGACTAGCCTGAGGACACACAGCCAGTAAGTGGCAGAACCAAGATTAAAGCCCCACTCTTAAAACTTCAGCGTCCTTCTCTTTTCTTTAATGGACTCAATTAAGTGTTCTCATCCAGGGACCCCCATGACTTCACGTTTCAGGACAAAAGCCTTCATGCTGGTACCCAGAGTGGCCTGACAGGAATATACCCATGCAAGGAACTTGCTCATCAGGACAGCAAACTGCCGTTTCAAGAGCACAACTGTGGACTTGTGGTAGGTTGAGATCCTGCATCTCATCTGTTTTTGTGTATGGCCACTTTTAATTAAAGTCAATGAAAGTATTTCCATTAAAAGCAAACAAGGGACACAGAGATTTTCTTAAATTGTGTCCTCTCATACCCAGATTTCCTGGGGTCAATAATGAGAGCCTTACATGGAAGATTCAAAGACAGAACTTGGTTCTGGATACACTAGCTCCTTGTTTTACGTATCCAGTATGTTTTTCTTTTTCCTGAATTTATATCAAAGGGAGAAAAAAATACCTAGTATTAATTGTATAGAGTTGTGCTGTCTGATACGGAAGCAACTACCATGTGTGGCTACCAAGCACTGGAAATATGAGTAGTCGGAATTAAGATGTGCTGTGATACATACCAAGGCCCCTGGGTGGTGCAAACAGTTTGCGCCCGACTACTAACCTACAGGTTGGTGGTTAGAACCCGTCCAGCAGTGCCATGGAAGAAACGTCTGATGATCTACTTCCATAAAAATCACAGCCGAGAAAACCCTCTGGAGCACAGTTCTACTCTGTAACACATGGGGTCCCTATGAGTTGCCATTGATTAACAGCAGTGAGTTTACTTTTGTAATACATACCTGATTTCAAAGACAGTATGAGAAAAAGAATATAAATGACTCATTAGCGATTTTTTATATTAAATGTTGAAATGATATGTTGATATGAGTTAAATAAAATATATCATGAAAATTAATCTCACCTATCTATTTTTTTTAACGTGGCTATTAGAAATTCTAAAGTTACATATGTGGCTGGCCCGTAATCCCACAGCTGTGGAGTCGATTCCAACTCATAGTGACAGAGTAGAACTGCCCCATAGGGTTTCTGAGGCTGTAATCTTTACAGAAGCAGACTGCCACATCTTTCTCCTGTTGAGCACCTGGTGGGTTCTAACCACCCACCTTTTAGTTAGCAGCTGAGCACTTAACCACTGCAGCACTTACCACTGTGCCACCAGGTCTCCTTATTGGACATCACTGGTATAGATGTGATAGAGCATAATGGTTGAGCACACTGACTCTGTGTTGGTCTCAGCTCCACCACTTAGTAACTGTGTGACCTTGGGCAAGAGATTTGACCTCTCTGTGCCTCAGTTTCCTCATCTGTAACATGGAAACAATGAAAATATCTTCTAGAATTGTTGTGAGCATTAAAGGAAGGCCTGACACATATGTGTTCAACAGATAGTGGAACTATGCTTTTAGCCAATACTACAAGGATCTATGTATATATGTCTACGTATATGTAAGGATGCAACGTATATTAGTGTCTGTAAACAGGTGAGAGATTCATTATAAGGGCTTGGTGCTTCTACTGGCAAGGTAATCCAGGTGAAAATAAACTGTTTTGAGATTTTGGGAAACTCCTTAGCCCTATTTTTCTCTACCCTTCCCCAACAATATTTCAACATACACACTTGTGAAATTTAACAACTCTTACTACATTGGGCAGGAGTCCCTGGGAGGCACAAACGGTTAACTGCTCAACTACTAGCCAAAAGGTTGGTGGTTCAAACCCACCCAGAGATGCCTTGGAAGACAGGCCTGGCGATCTGCTTCTGAAAGGTCACAGTTTCGAAAACCCTATGGAGGAAAGTTGTACTCAGCACACATGAAGTTGCTGTGAGTTGGAACTGACTCAGTAGCAACTAACAACAACCTCGTTGGGCAGAAATTAGAAGTAAACACTTAGAAGTTTCAGTCTACTGCAAAAGTACAAATATGAAGCTAATTATTTTGACTTCAATCCCTTCCCCAGTAACGACAGCCCCGCTGTCCCTTTCTCATTCTTGCAGGTCCCTAATGCTCCACCTGCCTATGAGAAACTCTTGGCAGAACAGCCACCCCCACCTTACTCACCCTGAAAGCCAGCAAGGCACCTGAGAGATGCTGAAATGATTCCCTTTACACTTTGGCTTGAATTCCATCTGGATGACTTATGTTCTGCTCTGGAATGCTGTGGCGACAGTGTGTACAACCTCTGATAATAAAGTTAGCGTCACATTCTTAGGAGAGTAACTAGCAGTAGTAATCAAGCAAGGAAATTATGAGAAATATTAAACTGGGAAAAACTTTGCCAATAAACCTTGTAATGCATGCTACTCTCTGTGCCAGTAGTAATTGCTAACCAATCTATGGTGTTATTTCCTGAGGGGTAGAATTCAAGTATGGTTCCCTGGGTGGTGCAGATGGTTAAGTGCTTGACTACTAGTTGAAAGCTTGCAGCTGGAACCCACCCAGAGGCACCTTGGAAGACAGTCCTGGTGATCTACTTCCAAAAGGTCACAGCCTTGAAAACCCAATGGAGCATAGTTGTACTCTGCACACAACGGGGTCACCATGAGTTGGAATCTACTCAACAGCACCCACCACCACCACCACCAATGTCCAGGAGGAGAAATTTAAAACAGTAAAGACCATTTATATACATATGGGCTGTTATGAGAACTCTGTAAAAGTAATAATATTAAACTATAAACTTTGGTTTAAAAAAAAAAACACAAAACACCTCCCCCACCCACACACACACAAACACACCTCCAACTAAATCTTTTTAAAAATTAGTTTTGCACTAAGTTCATAGATCGACTTAGGGAGATAATATTTTGCAACCATTTGTTTCTTGTTTCATAATTTCTTTTTAACCTTTCAAATTTTTATTCATGATAGTTTTTGCTGTTTAAATGTTTCTGATTTTTATCTAGTCAAAATAAAAGTTTTCCTAAAAAAAAAAAAAAAAAAACTTTTCTCTATCCTCAGTCTGTGTCCTTCTCCATCAATTGGCAATTGCCACAGCCTGATGCTGGATGCCACGTGGCAAAGAGGGGGAGTCAGTTATCTCCTGACTGAGCCACTGCACACCTAAAAGAAAGAACAGGAGTGAACCAAGTAATTCTATCAATTCTATTGTCTTTCCCCCCAAATTGCTGTCTGCTTTTAGTGTGGCTTCCACTGGCTGCCTCCACCCCTCACCGTTTCACTTGCCCTCTTGCAGTCCTCCCCTCCGCACCACTGATGAACATTCCACAGCACAGCACCTCATGGGTGCTTCAAATTTCCACCTCCTTCCTCACCTGTTGTTACCATTACTGTCAGATATCAGGTCTCCACACCACCTGCTTGGCCCAACTGCTTACATCCTAATTAGCTTCCCTGTCTTTAGTCAGGTGAATAATGAACCCCTGACCCCCACCCCCCGCCCCAAAACCAACCAACCCCAAGCCCACTGCTGTGGAGTCAATTCTGACTCATAGCGACCCTATAGGACAGAGTAGAACTGCCCCATAGGGTTTCCGAGGCTGTAATCTTTACGGTAGCAGACTGCCACATCTTTCTCCCTCAGAGTGGCTGGTGGGTTTGAACTGCCAACCTTTCAGTTAGCAGCTGAGCACTTAACCACTGTGTCACCCAGGCTCCTGTGAAGAATGACAGCAGCTACCATTTATTAAGCACCTACTATGCGGTAGGCATAGCGGTTAAGAGCTACAGCTGCTAACCAAAAGGTCGGCAGTTTGAATCCACCAGGCGCTCCTTGGAAACTGTAGGGCAGTTCCACTCTGTCCTATAGGGTCGTTATGAGTCGGAATCGACTCGATGGCAATGGTTTTTTTTTTTTTTTTTTGTATGTAGTAGGCATTGAGCCAAGTGTTTTCCATCAATTATCTCACATAATCCTCCCAGCAACCCTGCAAGTTAATTATCCACGTCTTACAACGGAATGCTACTACTTTACCTCAACAGCTTCACTAGCTCCTTCAACTGCTTTCAGAGTATTTTTCAGCCCTCTTATCACTAGCCCTGGTGGCACAGGGCTGAGAAGAGTTCAGCTGCTAACCAAAAAGGTTGGCAGCTCCTTGGAAAACCTATGAGTTGGAATGCACTTGACGGTAACAGGTTTGTTTTTATTTTTTTATTTATCACTAGCCCAACTTACTTTCCTAATCCTTTCCCGCCAGTCCTCATAACCTATAGTAGTACTCCATTCAAACTCAGTCACTCCATTCTCTATGCCACTCCTTTGCTTTCCGGAGTCGGGTCTTTGCAGGACCAGTTCTACATATACTTGTCACAGCACAACCACCACCTCCAACACAAAACCTTCTCTGACACCACCCTGCTAAACTCTCAGTTTTTTATTCCACTGACAGTTACTTCTTCTTTTAAATAACATTTTATTGTTTTAGGTGAAAGTTTACACAGCCAGTTAGGTTCCCGTTTAACAATTTTTATACAAATTGTTCTGTGCCATTGGTTACAATTTTTACAATGTGTCAGCATTCTCATTTCCTTTCTGTTTGTTCTGTTTCCATTGATCTAGCTTCCCTGCCCCTCCTTGCCTTCTCACCTTTGCTTTTGGGTAAGTGTTGACCATCTGGTCTCATACAGTTTAAGGGAACGGATTACTCATGGGTGAGTTTATTTCATAAGCCAATCTATTATTTGGCTGAAAGGTGACCTACAGAAATAGCTTCAAATCCAAGTTTAAAGGTTATCTTAGGGCAATATTCTTGGGGGTTCCTCTCTGTAGGTCCAGTAGGTCTGGCTTTTTTTTAGGAATTTGAGTTTTGTTCTACATTTTTCCCTCATTCTACTCAGGACCTTCTATTGTGTCCCTGGTCGTGGTAGCCAGGCACCATCTAGTTCTTCTGGTCTCAGGTTAGAGGAGGCTGTGGTTTGTGTGGGCTGTTAGTCCCATGGTCTAGTTTCTTCTTTGAACCTTTGATTTCCTTCATTCTCTTCTGCTTCATATGAGTAGAGACCAATAGTTGTATCTTAGATGGCCACTTGGAAGCTTTTAAGACCCCAGACGCTACTCACCAATCTAGGATGTAGAACATTATCATTGTCTACTATGTTATGCCAATTGACCGACCAAGTTGTCCCCTGAGATATTTACTTACTATATTTCTTTATTATTTTTTGTATTAAGGGTAGGGATGGGATCTTACTTGTTCCTACATCTTCTGATATGAGATACGGTCCTCAATAAGTGCGTGGAATGAATTTACATCTCTAGTAGGTGCTTTGAATTTATGTCAATAATTTAAGAATGATGTTGAAGATTACATACATATAAACCACACACACTTCATTTCTATTAATTCTTCATATATTACTGTTTAACTATAGACATTTCTCCCTTTCAGATTTTGTCTCCAAGGCATCTTATAAGAACCTTCTGACCTCTGCCATGTCCTTCAGCTTTCTTGCTACTCCCATAAGCATCAAGCACACTGTTGTGCACAGTAAATGCTTGTTGAATAAATGAGCAAGAAGAATAACCAGGGTAGATGGCAACATTTTAGTGACAGTGAAGCTTCAGGCTCAGGTGATGGCGAAACAACTTCTGCAATGACTGAGGGTAAATTGTGTATCTTCTCAAGTTATAGCAGTTTAATTTTGGGTAAGTAAATTACCCCATCAAACTCCTTAGATCATTTTCAGAACTTGTCACCTTCTCAAGCTTTTAATATTAAAGATTTCTAAAGTCATTGTTTCCTAAACCAATGATCTACTGAATTAAGTGAACATTTTAGTTGATCTTAGTGTACATATTTAGAGCCATCACTACTTTAATCATAGAACTATTACCTCAACTAATTATTAACTACACTAATAAAATCAGAGGCTTGGAATGGGAGCAAAGATCTAACAGTCACTTAAATATGTTTTTCCTTTGTGATTAGTAAAATACATACACACACATTTTCTTCATCAAATCACAAAGGAAAAACAATTTTTTTTTTTGCAGGAAAAACCATAGGAAATGAAACAAAGGGGAAGAGCCAATACAAAACGAGGGCATGTTACTTCAGCACATTTTAACATTTAAAACGATACTGAATACAGACACCCAAATGGCCTAATTCTATAGTAAGTGTGGAAACCTAAGAACCCTTTTCAGGTAGCACTGTGGGGACATGCCTCCCTTACATGGCTGCCTTTACAGATGACCTGTAAAGAACACTGCACACAAAGAACTGAGGAATCCGACTTTGTACTGTTTGGCCAAGATCCAGAAATGCACAATGATCTACAAAACTGGAGGTGAAGGAAAGGAATTTGGCTTTTTGATTATATAAATCCATTGATTTAGTCAAATTTCTAGTAAAAAACTGGAGTATTATTTTTTAAAAAAGTTATCTAGAAATATAAGAAGCTATCTGGATTTCGCACTCATTTATTCAACAAATACACACTGACGGTCCATGGTGTGTTGCTGGTGTTGTAACGATGCAGACAGACAAGGTACCTGCTTTCCAGGAGTCAGGACGGCAGGCATTAAACAAACGATTGCAAGCGGCTAATTTTATTACAGTTGTCAAGCAGTGCTATGAATGAGAATCTTCTTCTGTATTCTCCTCAATCTGTGTGACGGCAGCAGCATGACGCTGGCTGGGGCAGGGCGAGGGAGGTGTTATGTAGTACGAACTGAGAACCTGTGAGGGGATGTGACAACTCAAAGAACATCTGGAAAGGCCATGAGGTGTCTCGAACTTTCTAGGAACTAAAAGAAAAGCAGAGCACAGTGAACAAGGGTAGAGCAGGCTGAAATGCCACAATGATAAAGGTTCACCAGATCACACAGAGCTTTTAAGGTCATGTTAGGATGTGGGTTTTGGAGTTGGAAGAAGTTTAGTGGTTTTTCAGGTCCTTCAATGGGATTAAAAAGTTACACCACAGGTAATTCAGTAAATTAGTATCTGGATGTGGTTTACAGAATTCCTTTGAGACAAAAGATGAACAGTTGTAGGTTGTTCTCTTTTGAAAGTGGAGCTTGTGAATATATTCAGTAATTGAGCATCACCTACGTACAATGCAATGCACTTCACACATCACCTACTTCCCTCTGAAAGCCAAGGTTTATCTAAACTGACAGGGGAAGGGGGAAGCTGACTGAGCAGGGCGCAGACATGACTGGCAAAGGTGCTGTCTGAGTATAAATATAGGTTTTTGAGAGCCTTTAGCAACTTTCTAAGAAGAGCCTCACGCCCTCTCCACCTGATAACTACATTTCAATGCAGTTTCAAAAGTCTTCAGGCCCACTCTCACCATTGTCAACTGCAGACAGTAACTCTATGTGATGAGGTTTAACAGTATTTATAAATGGAAGGTGGAAGAGTATACAACCAGTAGTATCTCAAATAAGATAATGGATACGAAGAGTTAATAAATACAGAAGCTATCTTTTACTTAGAGTGAG